ATTGGCGAAGGTAGCGAACGCGCGTTCACGTCAGCGTTTGTTCAAGGGCGCGAACATTCGACAAACCTTCTCCAGATGTTTGCCAGATGTTCGCCGACAGTTTTAATGGTTCTTCTTGTTGAGCGTTCAAAATTCCCTCGACGAACGTCTGGAGAACATCTGGAGAATGTTGGGCGAAGGTTTACGACCGAGAACGAACCTTCGCGAGCCTTGATGAGACCGCAACATTCGCTACCATCGCAAACGTTCGCCCATCAGTGGGGTACGGGCCAAAGGTTTGCAAATGCACGACTGGGCGCGAACTTGAATGCACATGTAAACAGATGAGGAAGCTCATCTACTTTGAGCTAATTTGTATTCCCAGGTTTGAATTTTGCCAGATGCACCAAAATACTAATAGAAGGTTGGTGCTGCTGGACTGTCTGCGATGGGACGGCTGCAAGAACCGCGTGGACCTTTGCGTGGAGCCGTGTCCATCCCAGAGGAGCTGTGACTGAGAGTCAACACTAAAAAGTAGAGTGAAGCGAGAGAGACGACTCGATGGGACCGGAAAATTTGAGCCAATCTTTTGGTAGCGTGTTTTGCTCGCCAACAGATGAACTATGGTTTGTTGAAGGCCTGAGGTCACTTGTTTACTTTCAAACCTAGTTTGGTGGTGAGTGACGTCATGTGTGCTGTGATCACATCTATGATGCCCGCGCCTAACACTGGTCAAAGGAGACTCTCTCATCTCTTGGATCTACTAAGACTTAAAGAGAGGTTGGGTAACAAAAGCTCAAGTGAATTTGGATAATATCGAGAAGATTTTGTCTGATTTAAATTTGCACTGTTATTATTATTTTGTGTGTGTTCATGTTTTGTTCTTATATTTTGTGTACAGGTTGTGTACATGGTAAATGGGCCTTCACTCATATCATGCTTTTCTACCTTTGGTACTCAAAACCCCTCATTTACCGACTGATGATGCAGCATGAGGAGCAACTGAGGGTTCTTGCTCATGGATACTTCGCCAAAGTCACAATGGTCGGGGATTGAACCATCAATCTCTGGTTTGGGAGACAACCACTGATCTATGCCACGCCCCACATCACATTGTACAGTATGTTGAATGTGTTTATTTGTATTTACTTTTGCCTCATTTTACTCAACCGTCTACGGTGAGAGATTTGTCTCTAAATTATTCACACAAGTAAATCTGCGATTTTCACGTGTTTTTCAGATCCCTGAATATACGTGCGATTTTCACATGTATTTATTTTACGTTGTGAGTACTTATCATCTGTAAATATTCTATCCTGCGTGTGAATTGTCAAATGGGCGCTTGTAGATCAGTGGACATTTATTTTTTTGACACAAACGCCGTTTCAAAATATTCAGACACACACGGGTCTCAGGTATTTACAGGTGTGGAAAGGCCATCCCTCCCCGCCGTCCTCTGGAAGCCAGTGTTGCTGTCTCTGCTGCATGGGAACTCGCCATCTCCTGTTTCTAATTTAAAAATTGTAAATTGAAAAAAGGCCAACGAGCCTTTATCTGATCTTCTATTACCATAAGTCGGGAAACTTTCCATTGAGTTAATTTTTCCTTCAGACAGTAAACCTTCTTCTAATTCTCTTTGTTTGCTGCTGCAATGACATAGAACAAGAAGTGGGAGCAGCAGAAGCTCTCCTTAGCTGTATAACTTTTTTTGTAAACTTGCACTTCTGAATAGTATTTTTTGTTCCCTGTTTTTCAAGTTCCAAATTTTAAACGAGAAATGGGAGATGGCTCATTACTGTTCAATGGAGACAGCAAACGCCGTGACGTTTGTGTGAAAAAAAAAATGTATGTACATTTGTGTGAGTCATCTGATCCACAAATGCAAATTCAACAATTCACATTGAGAAACTGAATATTTACGAATGAAGGGTTACGTGTAAATCGCACAAACATTTGTGACAGAAAAACATGTAAAAATGATGCATATATTTGTGGATCTCAAAAAACACATGAAGATCATGAATATATTTGTGTAAATCATCTTGAGACAAATCTGTACCCAGACTGTCTGCAGCCAGGTTGACATTGAAAAGAGAGGTTGTTCACAATTGCCTTACATTGTGTGTGTGTGTGTGTGTGTATATATATAAGTTGAAATGCAATTAATAATTGTTTTGTGCATTGTGGGTGGAGTACTTGCAAAGAGATTAATTTTGCATGCGCAAGGTAATTTCATAAACATGAATCGAAATCCAATGGCTGATTTTGTGTTTCTAAATTATGCGGCTAAAAGGCAGATGTAAACAGCACTACTCAAGTATCAAATACAACTTTATTGTCAAATGTGCTGTATGTGCAACAACAGCACAGATTTCCTCCCTCTTAAACAGACAAGAGGAGCCGCTGTGGGTGCCCGCGCCGCCACCAAGAGAAAAGTTAACATAAAATGGCAAACTAATACAAGACAACACATCAGACAGAGACAATCGTGCAATCTTAACCACTTTGTTGTAAAAAGCAGTTATAGATGAAAGAGGAGCGAGTCAAAGTGTCCTTTTCACCTGTGGATCAAAGACGTCATGCTGAAATGTGCACACGTCTGCTACAAGCTAAGTTTGAAAGCAACAGGAAACTGTAGCTTCAGTTAACGAAAAAGAGATTGGCTCTCTTCTCCTGTCCCATGTAAATCCGCTTCAATTCCATGCCGCGACTCCCAGTTGCAAATACGCATCGGCGCTCTGCGCTGACGCTCCTTTCTTCTCATCGTCGGCTCCTCAAACCATGCATCCATCCAGCCGCAGACTGTCCATCAGCACCGACCTTTTCGCTGAACAAAGCGGAGCTGTGAAAATGCTGCCTATTTCAGGCGCAAGACACAAGCGCCCCGGAGCTGTCCAGCAACGACAGTCAAATGGCGCCGGCATTCCTCCCAATCAAAATCAGAGAAGGCGCAACCACCAAGCACAGATTCTTCTTCTTTGACGAATGTCGTGACCAAAAATGCTGAAAACAGTCCACATCAGGTCCACACGACGTAACAACAACACCATGTGACAAAACAAAAGACAAAAACAACAAAAAACAACAAAAAACGCAAGGCTCTTGAAGAGCACTTGCCGACGGCTGCCTAATCTGACGCCATACTGTGTGTAACATTGACAAGCAGGCGCCTCAGACGGGGAGATCAGACGTTTCCCACCCGTGATAACATTTTTGAAATGCCAGGCACAAAAATTATCGTGACTTCTCGTCTACTGAACAATGCTATTTTGGAGCCTCTGAATGATCTCAAGGTTGGCTTTGAGCCAGTCACAAGAAGCGGAGTCATGCCATATCGCCTATGACAAACTTTTCAACTCCCTTGCGTCTGCGTCACTTCTGTGAAAATTAGTGCTGGCATCTGCAAAGGCAGTTTTTTGGCTCTGCTGTCACAAGTTTTAAATGCAAATTTTAATGAAGCATGGGCAGATTCAATCCATCCAATGGCCACATACTCAGGGTGAATTAAAGCAAAAAAAACACTGGTTTCATGCAGCTGCTGTCTTTTCCGAAATTATCAGAGTGAGAGATTTCTTCCTTGGCTTTTCTACTATTATTTCTAATTCCATTACTTCATACCTGACTTTGTGCTTGCAATGCTCTCCCAAATGTTCCGTGGTGAAAATCAGCAGAGCTATAAAGCTCAAAACCTTCTTTCAAACATGGCTATCTCCATCAATTTTACACCTTTGGCCAACAGCGCGGACCATCATTGATAGTGAGTGAACCTGCAATCTGGCGGCTGCTATTTGGGAGCATCGTAAAAGTTTGTAATCTTAGTAGATTTCGTCATCTGATTCCTAAATAGTGGCAAATAACAATTTCAGCTCATGTCCAATTTCCCCCAGATAACTAACTAAAGGCCGCCTACCTCCTAAATAGATTTTTCCAGCAGGAAAACAAACCACACAAAACAAAAGCCTTGTGGACAAACATGCTGAGCCACTTCCTTCCGTTATGGCAACCCCTCCCCTCTTATCATCACGGTCCTGTGTGACCCCAGCTGGCCTGGCTCACTCGAAAGTAATTTCATTTAGAAATTCTGGGAACTGAAGCGGCTTTTTACCAAAATGGAAAAAAGGCAATTCTGAAAACAATGGATAATTCCACCAGATGAACATGCGTGAGAATGTCCCTCAAAATGTTTAGAAACAAACAATTGGTTTGCTAATCATGACAAAGGAAACTAGGCTCCAAATAGGCCGCTAAACGCAGATCAATGAAAAGGCAGCTGCCTTTTTCTATTATTAGCTGTAATCGAATATCAAGCAGTTGTGTTTCCTTCCGCTTGAAACCTATTCTGTCACACACTCAACACACACTGACTGAATAGTTTATTGTATTTCAATCTGAAGTCAATTTAATTCTGGCATGGGCTGTTTACTGTATTAGTTTCCACTTTTGGTAAACAGTCCTACTTTCCCAAGACGGCAGGGTGCTTTGCAGTTTACTGTCAGTGTTGGTGAGAGGAACATCAACAATCTTCTGGTCAATTCCAACTAGAACTGGTGCTTGTTTCACTGTGCCTCATCTTTCACAAGTACGAAGTACAATCGTGCTATTTTCAAGAGGATTTATTGCACCTAAAAGTAAAACTTATTCACACGATCAAGGCGTGGACGCATCCGTGTTCTGCGTGCCTACACCAGAGCGCTTTCATTTCATTGTAACAATTAGACATGATAACATGCACTAATGAGCATATTCCGCGAGGCGTTGCATCTGCAGTCGTACGTCAGAATAGCCAACAACATGTTGCTCACTGTGAACTTAATGCACCAAAGCACCTGCTCGATATGGATGATGGCTTTATATGCTGTCGAAACCAAAGTGAATGAGAGTGTAGAAGGTCCACTGTCCACATGTCTGCTTACACTTGTTCCGTTCCCTTTTATCAACGCCCGGTGGACGTTGCACTAACGGAGGTATTTGGAGCGATGGCAAAAGCAGCTAACGGCTAAGCTAACTTGCTTTCCCCCTACCTGATGGCGAAACTGTCACATCCAGCTGCGCGTGGCGGCGCTACTCTGGCGGTCGGAGGTGCGGGAGCCGCGGCCCGACAAACGACGATGATCAAGCAAACGTGACCATCCTCACACCTCCCGCTGCTTTGCAACAGGTAACTTTCTGGAAGCGTTCCAAGTATGCTTTACTCGGGTGGCGTGTGCCAAGATCGCTAGCTCTCTCACTACTTTTAAGGCTCAGGAGGAAGCAACAAGCGATTTTGACAGTTCATGGACGCGAGTAAATGCGTTACGCAAGGGGGTGTTGCGCCACGCGTCAAAACAGTACTAACACATTAATAATCAGTAAATAAGCCCATATTACGATAAAATGTGATTTGTACTGAATAGTAGTGCACTTATATTGCATTCTTAGTTCATTAGGGGGGCAATAAAGAAACTTTGAACCAGTGAGAGAAATAATAGCACCCTACTGTAAGCATGGATCAGTCCTTGCAGAATCAAGGGTAAAGGAGGGGGTGCCTGTTGCCTAGGAAACAACATTGAATCTCTCTGACGGAAAAGATGTGGCCACTGATTTCTGACAGAACAAGTCACTGTCTGTCTATCAAATAGTATGATGGGAACACTGAATTTAATGAATGTATTCAGCTTTAACGCCCAATAAGGCACATTTACGTCATCCCCCTGGACGATGATAATACCAAGAATAATTCTACCACTTATTTATTATTAAAATCATTGGTCACAACTAAATCCACGCAACACATGACACAATCACTGGTATCTCTTATTTTCATCTCACAATAATTATCTCATAATTTTCAGAGATGTCTTAATTTAACAACATGGTTGCTGTTAAAAGTGGTTCGAGTCTGCAATGGTGTATAACTACCGAGCAGATGTTTGGAATATTTAGATAATTTGATATCTATATTATACAGGGCCAACTGGTAAGCACACCTGCCTCACAGTGCAGAGGTCATGGGTTCGATTCCAGGTCCCGGCCTTCCTGTGTGTTGTTTGCATGTTCTCCCTGTTCCCGCATGGGTTTTCTCCAGGTACTCCAGTTTCCTCCTACATTCCAAAAACATGAATGGTAGGTTAAGTGATCAGTGTAAAGTGTCCTTAGGTGTGATTGTGGCTGTTGTTTGTCTCTGTGTGCCCTGCGATTGTCTGGTAACCAGTTCAGGGTGTACCTCCTCCTACTGCCTGAAGTGAGCTGGGGTCGGCTCCAGCATGCTCGCGACCCTCAATAGGATTAAGCAGTTCAGACAGTGGATGGATGTATGGCTGGATGTAATGTTGATGATGATTATGGTGATGACTGATCATTGTAGCTGTCTTGTATCCAATCTGTACTGTGATCGGTATGACTGCAACATACTGTGACACTAAATTACAAAGTTTATATATTTGACTTGTAACACCTTTCCCTTTAGCAAATACCACGTCAGAGTTTGCAGTGTGTTAAAATATTTCTGGAATGAACACAGACACAAATTTAGATGCACTGACTGCTATCCTTGCTGTGCGCTTTCCAATGAGTGCATGAACAATGCACAGTGCTAATGCATGCGGCTCTGTCGGGGTCAAAGCGGAATGCCGTTCAAAGGGAACATCACAGTTTGTCTGGACAGACATTAGGAGATGGACGCCATGAAGACATTACTGCTTGACATTGTTTGACCGGATTTGACAAACAAGAATTCAGGTTTAATATATCAGTGATTTTTGAAATGTAGATGTGGAGAAACATTAAGTATGATTCATACAAACCAAACCAATGTCTAGAAAAACAAGGAAGAATTATGGGTAAGGGCACACATACTGTAGATTGAGCTCCCTTCCCAAGGCCAACTGTATTGATCTTAATACAGGGAAAGAATGTGTTGGGGCGGGGGCACTATTCCTGGCATACTTCTCAAATTTTCTGTATACACCCACACACTTGTAAACAACCACAGAAGCAAACCTTGAGGCTTGAGGCACTGTACTTTTGTTGTGCACAGCTTGTAGACATTTTCCTTATTTACTTCAACGTAGAGCAAAATCCAGTTGCCAAGTTGATATACAGAAGCAAACATTTGTGTCATCCCCTTTGACTTTTCCCTTCCGACTCCGATTTCAGATTGCATATTTAACAACACTATTTTGATCAACGACTGGTTAGCATGTCCGTCTCACAGTGCAGACGTGCAGGGTTCGATTCCAGGCTCTGGCCTTCCTGTGTGGAGTTTGCATATTCTCCCTGTGCCTGTGTGGGTTTTCTTCGGGTACTCCGGTTTCCTCCCACATTCCAAAAACAATGCATGGCAGGCTAATGGAACACTCTAAATTGTCCCTAGGTGTGAGTGTGAGTGCTGACGGTTGTTCGCCGATATGTGCCCTGCGATTGGCCGAAGACAGCTGGGATAGGCTTCAGCACACTGCAACCCTCGTGAGGATAAAGCGGTTCAGACAATAGGTGGATGGATGGATATTTTGATTAACTGCACGTAGGGTCTGTTATTTGGCATTACTGTCTGTATATGGAGGAAAATATAATTGTCGGTGCTATTCCGGTGCACCTTTGAGGCCAGCGTAACGACGAGTCTTCAACGCAAACAAGACAATGGCTTCTTTGTATTTTCTATTTATTAAAAAATAAGGTATACAAAAAAGAGTTCTCTTTAGTTTGTCTAATTCGTTTGTTCTCGGATTGTTTGTCTAATTCGTTTGTTTGATTGTTTCATTTGTTTGTTTGTTTGTTTGGTCAAGAAACTGTATCGCTTTTGGCTTGAGCTGGCCTCATCTGTCTCTGTTTTGCTCAGTCCTTCTCCACACTGTCCTCATTCGCCAGTCGCGTGACGTCACAACAAATAGTTCCGTCAAAGAAATATTATAACATGCATAAAATAATAATGACAATTATTTCTACTAAGTTATGAAATATGCCACTTGAACATATCAATACTACACACAAAATCCGACCAATATCAAATTGGCACCTACATTAATTACAAAGGAAACATCCCCAAACAAGTGGTTAAATGTCCGATATTGGAAACAAGAAATAGAGCACTTTCATTTTGTTGTCAGTAGCACGAACAAGAGAATGACTTAAACCAGATGTGAACATAAAATGGTTCATTTTACCATGGATTCGCTCCACATTTGTTACTGGAGCATTGTGCTGATTCGACCTTGTGGTCAACGAGCAAGAAAATATTCACCACAATTAGTTTGTGATCCCAATTCGACATTGTTTGCCCCAGCAGGCAAGAAACAGACACTCACACAAGCAGATATATATTAACATACTCACACAAAAAGAGCCCATACTTCGACTCAGAGTGGCCCTGAGTTCCAGCTGCACACTCATATGGTGGGCAAAGCTTTTCCATCAAGGATAATATTGATCGTGGACATCACCAATTGAGAGCGTATACCTGATTATGAAAGCTTTTAACCCAAATGCTTATTGCAGCAAATGTTTAATGGAAAGAGCTTACCGCAGACTCAAAGCTCAATCGACTGTGTGTGTGTATGTGTGAGAGAGAGAGAGAGAGAGAGAAAGAAAGAGAGAGAGAGAAATTATGTGCTTATTCTTACAGTCAATTTGATGGATTGTCAGGCGATCACCTGAGCAGTTTGCCGACTGTGCCTTTGATGTGCAGACTGTATAACTCAAAGAAGTTCCGGATTGAAAATGCAAGCACGCTGTGGCAGGGCCAGTGCATTCAGAACACCTCACAGCAATTTTGAGGCAGACTCCACTTCATCATAAATCAACTGTGGCAGCTTTACTCGTTTTACCACACCCAGGGACCTTCCTCACTTGGCCTGCTGGTTTTTAAAAATAGGACTCTTTTAAGCGTGTCATCAGCACTTGTAAGATTACATATGGCTGGGTTATTTGCCATGCGTATTTACTGAAATAATTTCCAGAACGTAAGATCATCATTGACTTTCATCATTTGTAAACAAAATTGTGATTACTTTCTGTCATTCTTTGATCCTCAGACAGTAAAGGCAAAGGCAAGAGAAAGCATGCATTATCACCATGACAACGTCATACGTGGCTTCTGGCACATCAAGGTTGCTGAGGGGTGTTCAATTGCAATAAGAACCAAACAGTGATGATTGCTCTCAGCTGGGAATCTTGGCTATAAATATCCCATTTTGTTTTGTGACTGAACTTCAGTTGACTTCTTCCCTGAAATTGCTTGACAGAAAAAAAAAATCAATGTGCCTTCATAAGCTCTCCCACCACAGTGCAAAGTGCTTCCAAATACAGTATAGGAATGTGTATTATGCATGAGCTTCATGCTGATGCAAGGCCAACGGCTCAGCCTAGACTCCTTAATGTCTGAACTGGCCGTCATCACCATCGAAAACTTCCCTGTGGTCCCAACTTGGCAGTCACTTAGCTCAAAGGATTGATACTTCTCTGTAATATTCAATAATGCACTCAGGATCAGGGAGAAGTCAACTTTGTCACGCTCACACGCATGCAAACACTCATAAAGACATCAAGTTGGTGGTAGTAATTAAGAATTTCATATGTTGCCAAGCTGTTGGTGCTTTGAGGAATGGGAATATTGCATTTGATCGGTGAGGCTGTGATTATATACACAGTGCTCTCATACATTTCTGTCAGTACAGAAACAATAATAAGCTGTCGCTCGGCCACCCGTCAGCTTGAAATATTGATGCTTCTGCCGCAAGGCCGCTTGGTGCTGCCGCAAGTTGGAAGGACAATATAGTGAGTTCTTCTCAGGCCCCAAGTCTGACCAAAGTGCTGCCTGGCTCTTTCGGAATTATGATGATGACACTGCACTTGCACTTGCAGATCTCGACAGAATTTTTCCAAGCTTCAACCTTGAATGACACGTCACTAAATCAGACCCTACTATACGTTCCCTGTCAACAAAACGTATTTGATGTAATACTGCCCACAGAGGGAAATCTCAATGATCGTACTGAATGTGATTTCTGATTGATGCACGAAAACTTCATGGTTTGAACCACTGCCGCGCTAGACATCACATGAGACCTCAACAAATCTCATCAGACCCCAGTCAAAAGCATGAGGGCATTACTCTTGATGTCTTTTGACATTTACTCCAAAAGGAGAAAAGAAAACAAAACATGAAGCCTGATAAAGCATTGTTCAGTGAGGAGTGTGAGAAGAAAAACATACAGTACTGCAAGTTAGTTGTCATTTTAAAGTTTTAAAGAAAATTGTAATGATGGTTGTGTTGCT